GCACTGGCGTTCCTTGACTTCGTGGCCAGTGTCGAGGGCTGCGATGCGATAACCGAGGCCGTTGGTGCGACCGGCCCCTACCTGATCGAAGGTTGCGAGCTCCCCGATGACGTCGTGCCGGCGGTTGCTGACATGCTGCCCTATTTCCAGCAGGAGGACGGCTCCGCACCTGCGCTGGAGTTTCTCTCCCCGGTCAAAGGCCCTACACTTGAGCAACTGACCGTCGAGGTGGGTTCGGGCATTCGCTCGGCGGCCGATGCAGCCGCTCTCTACGATCAGGATGTTGCCCGACAGGCGCAACAGCTCGGTCTCGAAGGCTGGTAAGCCTCCCTTGCCAGCAAAGGTGGTCCCGGTAGGCGATGACCGGGGCCGCCACCAAAATCCGAGGGGAGAGCAGGCTTGAGCACATCAATCGCATTTGCTGCAGCCGCGCCGGCGGCATCGCAAAGGTCGCGACGACCCGCCAGCCCCTATCCGGGCTGGTTCTTTCTGCCCGCCGCTATAATATACGGCGTGCTGTTTCTGGTGCCCACGTTCTCGTCGCTCTATTTCAGCCTGACGCGGTGGACGCTGTTCAATTCGACGTTCATCGGGCTCGACAATTTCGTCCAGTTCTTCCGCGAACCGTTTCTCGTCCAGGGCGTGGTCAACACGCTGATTTTTGCCGTAGTAACTTGCACCCTTAAAGTGGTGTTCGGGCTGGGACTTGCGGTCCTTTTGACCTCCGACATCAGGTTCAGGGCCCTGTTGCGCTCCGTGGTGTTCTTCCCCGTGCTGGTCAGCGCGGTGGGCGTCGGCATTGCCTTTACCGCCATGATGCACCCAACACGGGGTATCATAAATGTGGCGCTCGAATTTATCGGCATCGACGGCCCTGGCTGGCTGACCAATCCAGCTCTCGCCATCTATTCGGTGGCCTTTGTCGAGGTCTGGCGCGGAGTGGGACTGGCGGCGGTCATCTATATTGCCGGCATCATGTCGATCCCGACCGATTATTATGAGGCCGCCCGCATTGATGGTGCCACTGGTTGGGACCGTTTTCGATACATCACATTGCCGCTCTGCCGGCCCGCTACGGTTACTGTGGTTATTCTCTCGTTCATTCACGGGCTGCGCAATTTTGAACTCGTCTGGGCAATGACTCGTGGCGGGCCGGGCTTTGCGTCGGACGTCCTCGCATCGGTGATTTACAAGCAGTATCAGGCAGGCTTTTACGGCCTCTCCACCGCTGGAAACGTCGTGCTGTTCGTGCTGATCGCCACTATGGCCGTGCCTCTCTACCTCTTTCTGAACCGCAAGGAGGGACACGAATGAATGCGTTGCGCCGTTACGGGCAAACGACCTTGGCCATGGCCCTGACGACTGTCATTTTTGTCGTCCCGTTCCTCTTTATCGTCCTTACCGCCATCAAAGATCGCGCCGAGTCCGCACGCCTGAATTTTACCCTGCCGACCAGTTTTCCCATCTGGGAAAATTTCTGGACGGTGATTTCGACACGCGACTTCATGCTCGTCACGGCCTATATCAACTCGACCATCCTGACGGTCGGAGCGGTCACGCTGCTGGTGATTCTGGCGGCAATGGTCGGCTACGTTCGCCAGCGTCGCAGGGCCTGGTGGAATGGGCTGGTGGACTTTCTCGTCCTGGCGGGGCTGATGATACCTCCGGCCGTCGTACCCACCATATGGCTGTTGCAAGAAATCAACTTGTTCGCGACCCTTCACGGCATGATCCTGATCGAGGTGGCTTACAACCTCTCGTTCTGCATAATCTTGTACCGTGCCTTCATCGCTACGATCCCGCGTGAACTCGATGAAGCAGCCATCATCGACGGCGCTCGGCCCATGGATGTCTTTTTCAGGGTCATATTGCCCCTGCTCAGGCCGGTAACCATTACGGTGATCGTCGTGCAGTCGGTTGCTATCTTCAATGATTTCGTCAACCCGCTCTATTACCTGCCAGGCAATGACAACGTCACCGTGCAACTGACGCTCTACAATTTCCAAAGCCAGTTCAACACGTCCTACAATCTGTTGTTCATGAACATTCTGCTCGTCACAATCCCACCGCTGATCGTGTTCCTGTTCTTCAACCGTCAGATCGTGGCGGGCATGACCGCCGGCGCGGTCAAGGGCTAGAGCGTGTCTAGCAAAAGCATGTCCTCGACCCGATCGGGGATGGAAACGGTTTTGCGGTTCGGACACGCGA